AATTTAATGCTGGGGGTAACCCTGTGATGGACTAGCACAGATCTCATCCAGTAGGAATTAGAAATACTTCTAGTCACTTCGTGCTACAGAAATCAGAGATAAGAGCTGGCCTGATGAGGCACTAGGCGCATATGCAGACTATACCTACTTGTATTTCTTATCGTAGCCTGTGATAAGATAAAGAGAAATAAACACTGTTTCACTCACTTTTTTCTCCATAGCTAGATCATAATCCTCCAATTCAACAGCTTTTTTCTTCTCAACTTCATATCGTCCCAGCTTCTCACCAACCTGTTAGAAAAAATACCATGTGTTACACTTAATAAACTAGGAGTTGTTTTATTTCATAAGCTGAAGGGTTGAATCATAGTTCATTTAATTGTAATTAACAAAAGATATAGTCTGGACAATAGAACTTATTTTATTATTAGAATTCCACTAGTTCATGTATACTAAAATGCAGTCTGAATGGCCGAGTTATTGTACACTATCAACCATTAGTGAGCAATGGTTGCAGGTTGTCCACACAATGGTGACATTGTCTTGTTTTTCTGATGTTTCAATGAAAAAATAAAAACCTAAGGGTGCATTCCTTTGGGGTGATCTGGATCTGGATCAGTGATCTTAGATCAGTCGGATCATCATGCATCAAAGGAACCGATGAATCCATGACTAGAAAGGAATACTAAAGAAAGGAAATTGGCTGTCGTGCAGCTTTAAAACCTCCAGATTACACAATGAACTTGTAATCTAAGCATGTAAACAACTGCAAGCTTCAAACAGCAGTTCACCACGTGCACAATTTTGCTCAAGGGTCAAGTTTACACTGTAAGACTACTTTTAATACATAGAGAAATAATTAGAAAGTTTTATCTGATGGAAATCTAGTGAGAATTCTACTAAAATAATTAGATTATTTGCTCTCAATAATTAATTATGTAATGATACAAACAATGTAGTTCATTTGGCCTTAATTGTTTAAAACAGAGTGATTAATCAGCACTGTAGTTCCTTGTCATTTCACTGCCTTGCCACTTCTGGGTGACACAAAGTTGGTAAAAACGCATGAAAAGTAAAATTAACACTTGCAAGAAATAACAAACTACAGAATACATCTGAAAAAAAACAATTTAAACCCACTATTTCTGAAAGTAAGAATACAATCTGATGTTTTGGAATCTTTAAGGGTTTATGTTCTTGTTAACTGTCGACTAGAGTTGTCCTTACTTTGTACAAGTCTGAAATGACAGCTGTCAGCTTCTTTGCATAGTCGTATCTTTCCTCTGTTCAACAAAATGGTCGTGGTTAATGGTTATCATTTCAAATTAGTTATAATTACAACACTAAAACTGAAAACATTAAATCAGGGAAAAATGCAATGAAGAAATTCATTGTAAAATCAGCCACAAATTGTGAAGAAATTGAATACTTTTTATTATCATTTATATAATTATTTTATAGTATTTAACATCATTATGTTGATTATTCCAAAAACAATCACAAGGGCTCAATTGCTTACGTTGTACTGCTTCTCTTTTCCTGTCATCTAGTTTTCTAATCAAGGCTGCTGTTTCAGGATCCTGTAAGAAGTATGATAAGCATTGTTACAGTAGTTACAATGTTAAACATTAATACAACAAGGTTATCAAATTTAACCAAATGGTGAAGTTTTGACTGGCAAAGTACATGTACATCATCACATATTTACAATTAACACCAAAATCAATTTCTGCAAAAAAGAGTATTAAGTTGAAAAATATTCAAACCTGATACATGTCAAAGGCCAAATCATCCATACGAGAGATGTAATCAGGCCTGCAAAAAA